CTCTGTCTCTCATTCTCTCTCTCAAATAAATAAATAAAATCTTTAAAAAAAAAAAAAAGAATGCCCCTCTCTGGTGAGCTGAATCCGTGTGCCTCTGAATGGACTTGTGAGCTCAGAAGTGCCTGTGAAATTCATGGGTATTGTTAAAGTTGCCTGTTTGTATGTTTTTGCTGTTGTAACCTATAAAAGGTAATACATGTAGTAAGGTTATAGCCTGAGTTCAGAAGGTTATCCTAAACATTGAACTTCTAATTCATAATGAAGAAGGACTGCCTTCTAGAGAGGGAAACTGGCAGTGAAGGAAGTATGTTGACTAACGAGGGAACTGCTCTCTCACATTTCCAGTGGATACAACCTTTACTTTCGGCTTAGGCTTTGGCAGGAACCTTCACTCTGGTGGGATTCCAGGCCGTCTGGCCTGACATTGTGCAGCTGTCCCCAGAGGGGATTGCAACTGCTTTGTAAAAAGTCATCTTGCTCCTTGTGCCCCCACCCCCCCATCATGGGAACGAAGCGTCTTCTTCAGCATCCTGGTTTGGTCATGGCTCTGTGACCAGGTGGGGTTGGACCTGGATATGCAGGAGGCAGGGTGGATGACCTATGCCACCAGCACCCTGTTTTTGGCCAGGTAGGTTTAAGAGGGAGGTGGAGAGTGTGAAAAGTCCAATCAGAAGAAGCTGAACTCTCGAAGTGGAGAGCAGGCCAGCGCTTCATGGGAAGGTCGCCGTGGCTGCTCGTTTGGGGAGAACCCATGTGCCTCGTCTAAGGCCCGAGAGCTGCAGCCTTGCGTGGTAATGGTGCTATTCTGCTGTAGGTTGGTGGACCAGAGGGCATTCTGCAGAATGGGGCCGTGGATGACAGCGTGGCCAAGACCAGCCAGTTGTTGGCTGAGTTGAACTTTGAAGAAGATGAAGAAGATACTTACTACACGAAGGATCTCCCTGTGCATGCCTGCAGGTAAGTGCCGATGGCGGAGGCGCAGACTTACCTCCCAGAGCTCTTGCATTCTTGAGTGGGTTTGCTGGCTTTAGAAGCCCATCTAAGATGAGGGACTGTGACGTGGTATTACAAAATAAGGTTCTTCAGGCCAATGTATACATAGTCCTTGTTACTGGGCAGGAGGGTGGGATCAGCCCCCTCTGATACCCCTGATTCACCCAGAGGGTAGGGGAGAGGCTCCCCTTCTCTGCCTTCTCTCAGGTCCTGGTGGTTCCCGGTACCTGTCCCACTCACTCATTCAAAACGAACTCACATTTGGTGAGGACTTTGGTTCAGAGGGTAAACAGCAGCTAAGATTTCTTTTACAAAGAGATGAATGTAGGGTACTTTAAAATATCTGCCTCTCTGATGTGTTCAAAATTCCCGAAAAATTGGAATTGAATAGTCAGTGGATAGAACTGCTTTTGGCCAAATTTGGAATTCTCATCTAGAGCAGGACCCATCGCTTGTATTTGGACCCTTAATATTGGACTTCTTACTTTTCTGTTACACGTACACAAGGAAATTGAAACCAAGAGATGAATTGATTTTGTTCAGGACACCTGGCCAGTCAGGGCCAATTTGGGCCTGGGCCATGACACTGTCTTGCTGGCCTCCCAGGCACACTGCCCCTCCGAAGTCTGTGCCCACCACAGAACAGAGTGCTGCTTCTTTCCCTGCTTTGTGGGGAGACCTTTTTTTTTTTTTTTGAACTTTATTTTGGCTTTCTGTTTTTAACTTTATTTTGGCTCTTTTCTCACTTGTTTAAAATTTTTTTACATATGTGTTAGTGATGTGTTAGTGTTCTGTTATCTACACATTTGCCGGTGAAGTGGTTCTAGTAAAGCTGCAGGTGCTTAATGTTTGCACACCCCCTCACCCGCCCAGCTGTCCCCATGGTGTGGGGTATTGGGGGAAGGTTCTTGTCTGGAGCACATTCTAGTTTGAGACTGAGGCTTGGCTTCATACACATTCAGAACTCTGTGGTGAGCCGGGTTTTGTTTTTGATGTGTTGATTTTCAGAAGAATGAGGCTGGGGGCTCTCTTGAGATGCTCCTTGCAAGCTTGAGCTCAGTCTGTACCTGCACCCGGAGACCCTCTGCTGCTGGGTCTGAGCTCCCGAGCGTTCCCGGGAGCATGGCGCCCTCTGCCGGAGAGTGGAGCGCCTTGTGAACGCAGTGTGGTCACAGCCTGACTCTTGTGTGCCCAGAGCCAGGGATGCTGATTTCCCTGCTTATAAGTCACGGTTTCTGAAACTTAAGGCCAAAGTGGGGTGGCTAGGGGTTGCTTTGGGGCATCAGACCTCTGTTGTTGGGTTCCCCTGGTACCTTCCACAGCTCTTATCCCCCACCTGGCAGGGGCTTTGCTGTTGCCTAGGGCCTCTCTCGGGAACCCCCACAGCACCCTGTACCCTTTCCTTGCATTTGCAGGGTCAGGAAGCCTCTGCAGTTTAACTGATTGGATTTTGCTAGTGGGATCATTGGGTTTGAGTATGTGTTTAATGAAAAATCTAAAAATGTTGTAAGAGGAAAGAATTTTACATCCTGCCAAATTAAAACCAGAGAGAGACCTTCCAGCTTTAACTGTTGATGTTTTGACTTTTTTAGTTACTGCGGAATACACGATCCTGCTTGCGTGGTTTACTGTAACACCAGCAAGAAGTGGTTCTGTAACGGGCGTGGAAATACTTCTGGCAGGTAGATAATCAGACAGTGCATGTGTCTTTAATCAGTGCTGTGCTCAGATTTGTGTGTAAATTATGGAAATGTTGAAGCAAAAGCACAATATAAAATCACGCTAACAAACCTGGTTTTTTCCCTCCTCTGTGACTGGTTTAACTTGAAACAGATGGTGGTGTGTGAATGCCTTAATGTATTTACCCTTGATTTATTCTCTGTGGTTCTTTTTATTATGCAAGTAGGGTTGGCTTAATTCTCGTTCCCAGTTTTTATTTATATTTTCCTGCAAGATGAGCTCCTGGCAAGGCCGTTCATCTTCATTACTGGGTGCCTGAGGAGGATGTTCCCAAGACAGTAATGGGCATCCATGGGAGCCGCTTCCTGAGAAGGCTCCCTCTGGCCTTAGCTCATCGGAGCAGTCCTGAGGCTAATACGGGCCAGATCCTGAATCATCGGATTAAATTAAGTTCACTTGACCGTCGTCTCTGGGCTTCCCTTCCTGCTGTTGATCAGCAGCAGCTGTGACTGGGTCTCTTGTTTTGTGTTTTGTGTTTGGGGTGAGACCAGTTTTGTGCTGGGGCTTGGATTCCAGGGGAGAATCCAGTGCTGGTGGCTCCTCCAGAGCTGCCGTGGTGTGTGACAGCTCACGACACTGTCATGGAGAAGCAGAGCAGCGTCTTGTGGGATAGGGCTCCAGGCTGCCAGCAAGAAAGCAGCATCTTCCTGGGGCTCGTGTTTTGGAGACATACAGTGACAAAACCCCATAGGCAGGTTTGTTTGTACAGAGCCCCCACCCTTCCTGTGTCTTCCACAGCTGCAGGCCAGGCCTCACCATCTCGTGCTGCCTGAGGAGACAGTGGTCAGATCTCGTGTCATCTTAAAAGTTAGCAGTGCGAACTGTGGGATTCTGGGTGAGGCAAGAAAGTGGGCTGATATTTAATTCTAAAGATTTGAAAGGAAAAGCATCTTCAGGGTAACCAGATTCATGTCCCATTTTCAGAATGTTTTGGGTAATTTCAGCATTACTATGTTTGCATTAGTTCCTCTCCTGCAGGAAAAGCAATTAAATAAAACTTCTTAGCTGGCAACCCCAGCTTCCGGTCAGCAGAGCCAAGATCAGGGAAGTGAGTGAAAGGCCTCTAAGAGAAAACAGACCCCATCAGTCAGCACTGAGTGTTTGTATGAGGCCAGATGGTAAAATGATGGGGCAGCCACTTGCCTTCAGGGAGCTTCCAGTATAAAGGGGTGAGGTGGGTGTAGGAAAGACAAGAGGAAGTCAGCGTCCGGTAAAATGCCCAGTTGTGACAGCTTCAAAAGAGTGGGCGCTTTGTGGGTGTCGAGAGTGGTGACAGCTGGTTAGATGATCTGACTGGCTTCATGGGTTAGAATGGACCAGAGGGGGTTAGAATGTGGCGTCTGAGCTGAAGCTTGCAACAGAAGGGGTTTCCCCGAGGTCGGGGAGGGCGGCGGCCAGGCAGGCTGGATGCCTGGCGGGCTCGGCATCTGACAGAGCCGCAGCAAGGCTGCAGGTAGCTGGGAGAGCCTAAGGCAGAGCCAGGCACCACCCGTGGGCCCCACGCGAGGCTGGCTTGTCTTGGGGCAGCGTTTGCAAGCCCTGGGTGTAAGTGAGCTGTGTCCCGGAAGTGGGAGGGACAGCAGAGTCCTGGCCACGCGGCGGTAAGGAAAGAGCCGAGACAGCGGGGTTTCAGACAGTTCAGAACCGGCCCTCCGTTTCCTGAGAGTAGCCCTGAGCCCTGTTGCTCAGTATTTTTTACTGTCCTCAGGTTTCTAATACGGTTGGTTATCAAGTTTCCTGGCCTGCAGCAAATTAGGAGGGGCTGTTGCTCCTGAAAGCAGGCACAGGGGCCCGGAGAGGCGACTTCGAAAGCGGGGGCAGCAGCCGAGGAGCCTCAGCAAGTGGAGAGGAGCCGTGGAAGCGACAGGCCGCCTGCCTCGCCGTAGGTTCATTCAGGCCCTGTCCGTAGGATTTCAGAAAGCAGGAACTAAAAGAAAGAAGCAAGAACTATGTGAAACGTGTTAGGAGCGTTTTCCTTAAAGGCTGTTCAAGTCGGACTGATTTTTGCGCTCAGTGGGGAGCCAGTTCAGGGGCGGGCTGGTCCCCGGGGACGCCAGATGGATGAGGTGTGACCGCCCCTGCTAATGGACTGTGAACGGTACCGGAACTTTTAACGGGGGGCTCGACAATTGGAAGTGGTGAAAAGCCAGACTTTGGGTGTTAACTATTTATCATTTCCTGGTTTCAGCCACATTGTAAATCACCTCGTGAGGGCAAAATGCAAAGAGGTGACTCTGCACAAGGATGGGCCCCTGGGGGAGACAGTTCTGGAGTGCTACAACTGTGGCTGCCGAAATGTCTTCCTCCTCGGCTTCATCCCTGCCAAGGCCGACTCGGTGGTGGTGCTGCTGTGCAGGTGAGGGCGGGGGCGGGGCACTCAGCCCCAGCGGGCCGGTTCTGCCGGTTAGAGAGGTGTGAGGATATTTGGGGGCTGGGGCTCGTTAGAGAACTGGGAATGCTGAGTAACTCTTTTGGGGTGTGTTCTGGTTAAATCATAAAAAGAATTCTGTAAAAACAGTGTTAGGAGTTTTAAGAGTTCAGAGCTCAAGTGCATGGGGAGAGGCAATGTATTACCAACAATTTAAAGGTAATATGATCACATAGTAAAATGCAGGGAACGTCACTTGGGGATGAAAGGTAAGGCTTGTGGGCGGAGGTCGTCATCCTCACCTGGGCTCTCCCTGCCCTTGGTGTTTTTGTAGGCAGCCCTGTGCCAGTCAGAGCAGCCTCAAGGACATCAACTGGGACAGCTCCCAGTGGCAGCCCCTGATCCAGGACCGTTGCTTCCTCTCTTGGCTGGTCAAGATCCCTTCTGAGCAGGAGCAGCTGCGGGCCCGGCAGATCACCGCCCAGCAGATCAACAAGCTGGAGGAGCTCTGGAAGGTGAGGGCCTGCTGAGAATGCAAATCTGCCTCAGCACGGTTCTTGTCCAGGGAGAGCTGCTGGGAGTGTCTTCAAAACAGGAGATTCTGGAAGGAACTTGAGGGAGAGACTGCAGTCTCTACCTGGAATGGCCCTTTGGTGGAATCCCACAGGCACCTCCTGCCAGGCCTCTAGGAAAGGACAGCTCCAGTTGGAATTTTTCTTTTGTTGCAGAGGGAGAGGGCGAGGGCGAGGGCGGGTGGTGGGAAGGAGGAAGGTCAGAACTGGCCGTAGGTGGCTGAGGGTGCACATGGCAGGAGGAGCCGGGCCTGGGGAGACAGGACTGTGAGGGTGCTGTAAGACCTCGTTGGGCTTGTGACGTGTCTCAGCCAGGGTAACACCAGGCCAGGGGTGAATGTCCAGGGGAAAAGGAGTCCAGGTCACAAAGGTCAGAGAAGCAGGGCCTATAGCAGCTGGATGAGTGAAGGGGAGGGGCTTCCAGGTTGGGTGGTGGGGTGCCTGCCCTGCCTGACAGACCCAGTTCTCCAGGAAGCCCTTCTCTGGTTCTGGCCGTTCAGCTTTTATGATAAAGTTTTAGTAATTGGGCTATAAATTTTAATTAGGTGCCCATATAATCCAGAATCTTAAATGTGAGTTTATTTTCAATTTGAGTGCAAGTCAGAATATTTCTCAAGTATCATCTAGCAAGGTGCCCTTCTGCTTCGATTTTTGGATGGCCAGAACTCTTTGACCTTTCCCGTTTATAGCCACACAGCCCAGATACCGTTCTGTCCCTGCCAGGGAGGAGTGTGTCGCCCCTGTCGGTGCAGCACAGGGTCAGGAGGAAATTGGGGCGCTGGTGGGGGGAAGAAGGGCCTCCCCTTCTATTTACACAAGCAGAGAACTAGTGGTCTTTCTGGCAGCTCGAAAGAGGTATTCTCTCTTTCAGTTCAGGGGCTGGGCGTTGGTTGGGGAATGAAGCCATTTGGTGGTGCAGGCATGTCGGGCTGTGTACCTGATACCTGAGGTGTCCTCCCCAGTATTCACCCTGTCGGTGTGGCCCTGGGCAGGGGAGGGTTAGGGGCAGTGGCTGAAGGGTGAGCAAAGACCCAGGCCAGTGTCCACCTCCCCGTGCCACATACACTTCCCCGTACGAGAGCTGTCCTCATGGGGGGGACACCACCAACCACCGGTGCCCTCTGTATGACGGGCCGACCTCGGCTCGTTCTGAGAGGTGACGGATAGGCCTTGTTCTTCTAGTGACTAGTGATCCCGCGTGTAGTTCCTCTCGTCTGTAGGCGAAAATGGGGAAGAACCGCCCCGGTGCTTGTCTTCTAGGAAAACCCTTCTGCCACCTTGGAGGACCTGGAGAAGCCAGGCGTGGACGAGGAGCCGCAGCACGTCCTCCTGCGGTATGAGGACGCCTACCAGTACCAGAACATATTCGGCCCTCTGGTCAAGCTGGAGGCCGACTACGATAAGAAACTGAAAGAGTCCCAGGTGATGTGGTGTGTGCAGGAGGGTTTCGGTCGTTTTAACACAGCCTCTCTCCTAAGGTCTGGGGAGGGCGGTTTCCTGTGCAAACTAAGGACGCTGCTGCGGGCTGAGGCGCGGTGCCCGGAGAGACGGACGGCGGACTGAGGGCAGGCGAGGGAGTGACCCTTGGGCGCACGCCCGGTCGCTCAGAGCTGAATGCCGGCCTGAGTGTTTTCTGATGTAAAAGCCAACAAAAATCCCTCCCGGTCGCGGTCGCGGCCTTTGCCCACGGCTACGAGCGTCAGAACCGAGGAGCCTGTGGCGCACCGAGGGCACCCCGTGCCGGTCCCGCGAAGATCACCTCGAGGCGGCGGGAGCTCCGACGGCTGGCCGCCAGCTTCCTTCTCCCTCCGCAGTTCACAGAGAAGCCGCCTCCAAGAGCAGACGTCGTGTGGGGGTCTCCTGGTCATCCTGAGCGGGGTCTGGGGGTCCTAATGGCTTTTCTCCCGGACGTGCCCTTGTTGGTGTCGCAGGCTGTTGGGTGCTGCGCACGGCACCCTGACGTCACGGCTCGTAAGGTCGCCGTAGGGCACACACCTGTGGAAACGCAGACACGAGGAGTCCAGGGCCGTGTCTGTGTCTCAGGCTAACAGGGCTCTTATTTTTCATGTGCTCAGACTCAAGATAACATCACGGTCAGGTGGGACCTGGGCCTTAACAAGAAGAGAATCGCCTACTTCACTTTGCCCAAGACTGACTCTGGTAATGAGGATTTAGTCATAATTTGGTTAAGAGGTGATTTTAAGTTTTAAAATATTTGTGACCATAAGTAGCATAAAATTCCTAGTTTCACCCTTGTAAAGTGTCCCTTAATTTGAACTCTTCATGATGGCAGCCGCGGCACGTGTTGAAAGCGCTAACTTTCTTGCTGTCTTTTCTCTGTAAGACATGCGGCTCATGCAGGGGGATGAGATATGCCTGAGGTACAAAGGGGATCTGGCACCCCTGTGGAAAGGGATCGGCCACGTCATCAAGGTCCCTGATAGTATCCTTTGTGTAAAGACGGGTGAGCTCGTCCTGAGCACGGGCGGCCTGTGTGGGGATCGCCGCAGGTGGAGGAGAGGGCATCGTGGGCGGCCACGCTGGGGGGGGTCCCTCCGAATGGTGTTTGCCACTGAGTCCTTTCTTCAGTTGTACTCGGAGGTGCACCATGTGTATCAAACTGATCAAAGAGCTGCCTAGCCTGAAGCCAGGGTGCTCCCAGCTCTGCGCCCCAGGGCTCTGGCGGCTCAGCCCGACCCCCGGCTGGCGTGCTCCATGCTGGCCGCTGCCCAGGCGCTCACAGGGAGGGCGCGGGAGCTGGCAGCAGGGGCCCCGACACCGGGCCGGCGTCTGGCGGTGAGCACAGGCCGGGCGGGCTGAGTCTTCTGTGTTTGGCGCAGAGGAGGGTCTTTTTCCTCAGTCACCAAATGAAGGCTCCTCAGAAAGGTAAACTCAGCTTTTGACAACGGTGAAACTTAACTCAGCGGCACAGATTATGGCGATGAGATCGCCATTGAGCTTCGGAGCAGTGTGGGTGCGCCCGTGGAGGTGACTCACAACTTCCAGGTGGATTTCGTGTGGAAGTCAACCTCGTTTGATAGGTACGTCCACCTTGTCCCTGCCCGCGCCACTGCATCTGCTCTGGGGTGCCCCACCGCCTTCGGCATCTGGACGATCTGCTCACCCGCGAGAGCCAGGCCTCACCGCTCCATGGTCGTGTGCATGCTGCTGACCCCGAGCTTGCCTTCCAGGATGCAGAGTGCGCTGAAAACGTTTGCTGTGGATGAGACCTCTGTCTCGGGCTACATCTACCACAAGCTGCTCGGGCACGAGGTGGAGGATGTGATCATCAAGTGCCAGCTGCCGAAGCGCTTCACGGCACAGGGGCTCCCCGACCTCAACCATTCGCAGGTTCTCACCCCTTCTGGGGGATAGGAGGGGCCTGGCCGGCAGAGCCTGCTTGGGTGGGTGGCCGGCCCCCCACTCCCCGGGGGTGGCTGTAGCCTAACGACTGCCTGTTATCCGAAGGTTTATGCTGTCAAGACTGTGCTGCAGAGACCGCTGAGCCTGATCCAGGGACCACCAGGCACGGGGAAGACGGTGACCTCTGCCACCATCGTCTACCACCTTGCTCGGCAGGGCAACGGGTAGGGCTTGGCATGGTCCCGGCACTGTGTATTCTACGTTATTTGTATGTGATCTGGTCTCCGTGGTTGCTACTCACAAGTAAGCCTGCTGCTCTGGTGGAGGCAGCCGTGGGGCGGTGGGTCAGCGCGTCCCGAGTGTCGGGCCTGTGCGCGTCGCAGAGCTTTCAGAGTCTTTACGGTGCAGACCCAGGAGGGTGAGGAGGCAGGATTCACTTAGTAGCGTTGCTGTACATGAGAAGTGTGAAAACCAGCTGGGAACAGGAAGCTCCAGACCAGTTGGATTTTAGCTCCTTCAGCTTTGTTCACTGACTTTAGTCCTAGGTCCCCAGTGGGGAGGTGCTCCACTGCCTAGGATTCAGAACGACAGTCCTGGCAGTGAGCATTTCCTGAACTTCCTCTGGCTGAGCTCTGAGATGTTTGTTCGCCTTGTGTGTTGAAGGCCTGTGCTCGTCTGTGCTCCGAGTAACATAGCTGTGGATCAGCTGACTGAGAAGATCCACCAGACTGGGCTGAAAGTCGTGCGGCTCTGCGCGAAGAGCCGCGAGGCCATTGACTCCCCAGTGTCCTTCCTGGCCCTGCACAACCAGATCAGGAATATGGATAGGTGGGTGTTGGGTAGCCTGCCTCGAGTGCAGCACGTCTCCCGTGCGCGGTCCCTGGCAACGCCTGGCTCCCGTGCCTGCTGACGTGTCGCCATGCTTCCAGCATGCCGGAGCTGCAGAAGCTACAGCAGCTGAAGGACGAGACGGGGGAGCTGTCCTCTGCTGACGAGAAGCGGTACCGGGCCCTGAAGCGCACCGCCGAGAGGGAGCTGCTCATGGTGAGCTCTTAACCTCTGGGCCGTTTGGCCCCGTGTGGCCGTGGGACCTGTTGCGGAATGCGGAGCATGGCGTGGAGCCTTTACATCAGTTTAGTTTGCTTTTGAGAAAGAACTTCAGTACCTCCCGTATTTGCCTTCTCAGTGGTTGTACATCTTGGCCTGGAGGTGGGTGGGTCTGGAACACTCCCCTGCTCTTTTATAACAGACAAGCTTTCCCCAGCTCAGCACTGCCTCTCTGAGGCTGTCTTGAGGCACAGAACCACGTCTGTGCTGAGAGGTTTTTGTGACGAAGCATGATCACTTAGGGTCTCAGAAGGTAGTGCCGCTGCAACCTGGACGTAGATGCGTCCCCCAGGTGGGACAGCGGCCTGTGTCCGTAGGTGTCGGGGAGGGTGCCAGTCAGTGTCCTGTTCCGCCTGCCCTTTGGGGCCTGGTAGCATTTACCGTGCAGGTTTCCTGATGCCTTGCCTGCTCTCGTCTCCAGAATGCAGATGTCATCTGCTGCACGTGTGTGGGTGCAGGGGACCCGAGGCTCGCCAAGATGCAGTTCCGTTCCATTTTAATTGATGAGAGCACCCAGGCTACCGAACCAGAGTGCATGGTCCCTGTGGTCCTTGGCGCCAAGCAGGTGGGCCATTCACTGTCGTCCTGTTTGAAAACCAGTGTGTGTTCTCTTGTTCCAGTTCCGTGTCATTCTCAGTGCTGGGGGTTCGTTTCTGATAATGCTCTGTAATGCCGTGTGATGTCCTGGCAGAGCAGAGGGATGCCCAGCGGGCTCATTGAGTGGTTCTTGGAAGGATGGGTGCCACACAGAGCACCTCTTGTGGGTCCTGAGTGCAAGTCTGTGTGTTTCATATATAGGTTTCCCCCACTATCTGAAAGTGAAACACTGCTTTGAAACCTCTTACAAGCAAAAATGGGATAAAGCGAAGAATATCCCTACTTTCTGAAAGTTCCTATTACACCACCTTGCTTTTACAAAAGACCTACGTTAGTACCTGTTTTTGACAACCAAAAGAAATCTGAAGAGGGTTCTTGATTTTACAACAAAAGCCATTACCTCTAACGTAGGTCTTCTGTAAAAGAGCAGTGACATGACACGAACTTATTTAGGAAAGCTGGATGCCTCTATGTGGTGGGCAGTGTCCTGTGCTGGTCGCCTCTTCCTGGTTGAATTCATGTGGCTGGGTGGTTGTATAACACCAGGGCCCCTTGGTGCCCCATGAGTGGACGTCTGTGCGGTTTCACACCTGAGCTCCTCACCTGTGTGGGCCTCTCGCCACAGCTCATCCTCGTGGGTGACCACTGTCAGCTGGGCCCTGTGGTGATGTGCAAGAAGGCAGCCAAGGCCGGACTATCTCAGTCACTCTTCGAGCGCCTGGTGGTGCTGGGCATCCGTCCCATCCGCCTGCAGGTCCAGTATCGGATGCACCCTGCGCTCAGCGCCTTCCCATCCAACATCTTCTACGAGGGCTCTCTCCAGAATGGCGTCACGGCAGGTAGTGCTCAGCCCAGAGTGGGGGGCCTGGAGGGAGTGCAGCCTGGGGAGGTGAAACCTGTTGTCACGGCCTAAGCGGCTTACATGGTGATCACTTACGTGTAGGGGGGACCTCAGAGAGGTACAGTGGTCTGCAGGACGGCATGTCCACTCTGGAGTGTGGGACGTCCTTGGCCCGTGGGCAAGGGGGAGCTTGTCCTTGTAAAATGCAGGGTCACTCCATGAGAATTCACGCTGGGGGCCTGTCACACGGTGGACAGAACAGGAGGTGGCTGAGCTGACCGTGCCTCCACTCCTCACTCCGGTGCTCTCATACCCCGGGCCCTGGGGCTTCACAGGACTGAGGCCAGAACTACTCTCATAGTAACACTGAGGGATCGTGTGCCCTTTTGCCATGCGGACGCTCGTGCTGAGGGTACAGAAACAACCCTGGAGGGCTGGCTGGTGCCTCGACATGAGTGGGGACAGTGCTGCCGGACTGCCATGTGTCGTCACCACCACATGCTTGCAGCAGGCAAGACCCTGAATGCATCAGTGGAGAGTACTCACTTTACTAACCCCTTGGGTGCCCATCCGGATGACCCTGTGTGTGATGAGGTAGGGAGTTCTGAGACACTTGAAGGGTGTGGTAGGTGCTTTTAAAAGGATTCAGGGACACAGTATGGTCGGTCATTCAGACTGGGGTTGAGTTCAGCAGTGCTTTGCCAGAAATGATCAAAGTGAGTCAGCCCATGGCTTCAAGGAAAACAATTGACAGTATTTATCTCCAGTGATAAAACCTGAGGATTCAAAATGAAAATCAGAATTTTGGAAAACTCATGTCCCTAATCTGGGCTGACCAAGTCTTTCCAATGCTGAGTGGCTTTTCTGGTGGGATCTGTTGTGGTGACAAATGTCCGTGAGGCGTGCGAGTCTTTGGGAGCTCTGCCAGACTTGGTGAGCAAGTACTTCCCATTCTGATGGCCAGCAAGGGCATTACAAAGTCAGAGGCCGTCCCAAAGGCAGGGCAGAAGAGAGAAGCCAGCATCACGAACCTGCAGGGTGACCTCCTGTCCAGCTTTGGTCTGGAATCGGTTAAAACCCCACGATTGTGGGGAAAGTTATAAAACACTCTTCCCTTTTCCAACTATGTGCATCTGTGACGCCCGATCGTCCTACTGCAAGGGCTGATGGGAGACTGAGCACAGAAGCAGAGTCAGCCACGTCGCTGAGTTGCAGAAACTCAAGAGATACATATTTTAGTGGGAAATGTTATTTATTTATTTTTTAAAGATTTATTTATTTGAGAGAGCGAGAATGAGAGAGAGATAGTACATGAGAGGGGGGAGGGTCAGAGGGAGAAGCAG